TATGTAGTGATATTGCTTGCAGCCAATGTTGCATAAATTTTGTATAATATGATGTCATGGGGTAGGACTGGATAAGTTTGACTTCTTCCTACTCCATTCAAACATGTAATAGGTGTAAGCAAACTGATTTTGAATTAGCATTGGTTGGATATGTGTAATCATGTGTGTTATTGTCATTTGTTCATTGTTCTGTTCTGCATGTTTGAAAGAATAAATCAATCAATCAATCAATCAGTTATTAAAAACATATTACTGCAAAATACTTAAACTGTTGCTTTATGTCTCTATCTCATTGAATGTGGGGTTAAAAACTTTTCAAAAACTATTTCTGCTAAGTCTTGATGTTGGTTTCAAACCAGAGGACAGATATTCTACAAAAAAAAAAAAACTTTGGGAAACCATACAAAAAAGGCAACTCATGCTCAATACAGTAGACAGTGTTTAAATGGTAAACACATAAAACCCATTGAATGTGTAAAACCATTTTGGTAGGGTGTTGGTAGTCTTGAATAGCTGATCAGAATTAGGAAGATAATGATGAAGATAATGTTAGGGACATCCTTAACACTGAATTGTATATGCTGCATGCTAAAGGGTCCTTGTTAGCACTGATGAGTTAAATGTTTTCTAGGTACCCAGATTAAATATAACTGGTTTTTGAACAATGTTAAATGACTGTTATTCAACATGAAGCTGCACTGAAATATAGTCATAGAAATGCTGTTCACACAGAGGATATGTTAACTAGATGTGCAAAATTGTTAGCACAGTAGACATTCATTTGGCAATGTTAAGTGGTCATCTCAGAATGTATTAATTTTCTTTTACTTGAGTAAAAGTAAAGTACTTTTAATCAATTTAATCTCCCCAATTTCATTTTTGGAAGATGACAGCACCACATGAACTTCAGAGTACTAAGCACATTAAAGGCTGAAGGGTGCCTTTTATTAAGAGATTAGAATTTTTGTATATATACTTTTAAACTGTTACTGCTTTATGTACAACACACACACAACCACACGCACTGCACAAAAACATTTCTCATTTTCACCCTCCTCCTTCCCTCCATCTGTACTAAATTTCAGGGCCAACCAGGCAAGGCGCCTGGGTGGGGCGACAGATCAAGAGGGAGCAGGGTGAGCAGTGAGGGTGAAGAGGCACACATGTGGAAAAACAGTGTGAAGCTGGTCCAGAATCTCTTCTCACCATCCCTGTGGCAGCTGCTGCCTGGTTAGTTGATGTGAAGGAGGAGTAAACCAGACTGACCATGATGTTATGGAGCAGCGGATCAGCCACCATCAGAAGGATAGGAGGAAGGTTTGGGTCTGTATGTGTGCATGTTTGTGTGTCTTGAGGGCTGTTCCCGGGCAGGAACTTACCTCTGCAGATGGTGCCATTGCCCACATAGCCCAGCTTACAAGTACACAGGTGTCCTCTGATGGTGTTGGTGCAGATGGCATTCTCATCACACAGATTTTGGCTGCTGGCACACTCGTCATGCTCTGAGGGAGAGATGGGGAGAGTGAATCCACAGTCAGAATAGCTGTGTGTATGTGTGTTTGCTGTGTGCAGCATGGAGGGGTCATTAGAAAAATGCTCATTTCTTTTTGAGCTAAGCAGCCATGGAAATCCAATTGATGAGAAGACTCTAAATAAGCTAGTTGGCTGAGAACACGAGGCCACAGCTGAGCTTTTCCTCTGTGGACAGCCAACTTTCTGAATATCCATGTTTCCAAACATCAGCTCTGCCTGGCACGTTTGAATCGGATTGTGAAGGCTGCTTTAAAGGATGACAAAGGCACAGCTGCTTTTTCTAGCCTAGTTTTACTTTAAAACCACCATCGGGTGGTAGAGTTTGGAGCAACAGCTGAAACATGCAGGTGTGTTCACTGTTTGCTCAGTATCAGAATCAATTAGCCTAATGATATTGCCTTAGACACTTCTGAGACACAACACCAACATATCAAAACTTAACATTCACAAAATCCAGTAAACAAACAACTCTGTAGTGGACCCGGTACAATATAATAAATAGAAAATGGCTAATTATGGAGTTGCTACCAGTTCTTAATGCTGATAGAGACAAAGGGCAAGTTGAAACTGTTTTTTCTCCTTTTCAGTAACACACCTAGCAAAGACATCCCTACTGCAAACCTGCCACTGAGATTGCCACTCTTTATCTCAGTATTGAAACAAGGCAATTGCTTCTACCACTGTTTATTTCACAAAATTAATAAAACAATCTAAACATGAATGTCTGGAATATAAAGGGTCCACTACTGCTGTGATGGTAACACACTGAAATCCATCACTGCAGTATAAATCAGCAACTACAGAACGACTCCCATGTGCCAACCATAAAGCCGGTTTTGGCCATATTACCTAGGGGACACCAGAAAGGTGAAAAATGTCACATTTTATCAGATATCTGCCAATATAATGTCTGATGGAAAATGACTTCAAAATGTCTGATTCTTGTGTTTTTGCTTTTCACATATGCATGTACTGTCTGGGTATATCTGGTCTCTTACTTTCAGATGAAGATGCCAGTGAGTACAAAAGCTGTCATGTTAAACCTCACAAGTGCAATTTTGGCTTTTGCCTCCTTATCCCTGAACTGAAAGCTACAAGGTCCAACAAGGGCTGGGTCAATTTTATGACCATAAAACCAAGAGGCTAAAAAAAAAAAAACTGTGCAAGGTTAGCAGTATGGAAATATGGCCAGGTTTGTTTCATTCAAGAAATGCTGACTCACCAATAACACGGTGGTTTACAGTGCAGTGCATGCTCAGGGTCAGTGTTTTATATGCTGCTAGGCACCATGAACGGCTCTCTTGACTTTTATAAGTTTTCTGTTAGCTGGAGACTGGTGGGAATAAGGGGTTCAGTACTGCAGGCAATGTGTGATTAACCACCACTAAGAGACCTTCCACTAAACCACCTCGCTGCTCTGATACTGTAAGTCACTAAGGTGTAGCTGTATACCTAAGGTTTAGCTTTGCTTTCCAAATGTTTGCAAAATATCCTTTACTTTTCTCAGACAGATCACGGCAGGACTGTGGAGAAGTTAGCAAAAAATTTCACCAGAACCTTTTGTTTTGAGCATAAAATACTCATCAGCTTGAAAGGTGGCTCAAAATATTTGCAGCATGGATTTAGAAGAAGAAGTTTTATTTTATTGTCATTGTGACATGTATAACGCAATTTAGTTTGGAGCCGAGGGCCCGGGGCTGCTGCGTGCATACACGCTGCCATCATGGGCAAATTGGGGGGTTCAGTGTCTTGCCCAAGGACACTTCGACATGTGGACTGCAGGCACCGAGATTCAAACTTCTAACCCTCCGGTTGGGAGACGGCTGCTCTACCCACCGCACCACTGTTGCCCCCCCATTGTGACACGTACAACGAAATTTTGGAGCCGAGGGCACTGGGCTGCTGCACGAGTATGCGCCGTCATCACGGGCAATTTAGAGTTAATTACAACAGTGACCCAATAATTTTGCTTAAATATGGCTAAATAAACATTTTATTTTCCATTTTGACAGTGTGATAAACTAGGTTTGCTCATGTTGACTGCAAGCGGCAAATAAAAGCAATTCGCTGTGCTTGCATCTGTTCATATTTTGAGAAAAAAGTGTTTAGAGCATAGTGATAAGAGCAGGCAACAGAAAATGAATTATGCTGCATTAGTAGTTTGAGAAGATTCTAGCTGTCCCTGGTAGGCTAGTAGTTAAGGCGCAGCGTTCTCGCTGCTGCGGCCCGGGTTCGAATCAGGGTTGCGTCAGGAAGGGCATCCGGCGTAAAACACGTGCCAAATGTCAACGTGCAAGTCGTCAGTGTGATGATTCGATGTGGCAACCCCTAAACGAGAAAAGCCGAAAGTGACTTTCTTATATGGATATTTTAATTGATATTAAAATTTATTTTGAGTCTGGACTTAAAGGTTAGGTTATTTGCTATACTTTACATGTGCATAATCCCATAAATAAATAAAATGCTACAATAAACAATACACCAAATGACACACACCAAATGAGGGCCCCAGGGACCCAGTAATTTACACATTTGACCTTTTGGTAATACAGCCTTGTCCAAGAACTTGTTTATACTCTAAATATGACCCACCCAGTTTAGCTGATCAGCTCCAGATACGGGGTAAACAGACCCATCTTTATGCAGGGAATTTAAGTAAGATCTGTGCTTAATGCTGCAAA